AGGGATGATTAATTGCTTAACTGTGTTCACCTGATCTGGCCCAGTGCTAATCAAAAAAAAACACTGATCAATCATAATTAAAAGTGAGTCTCATCTACATAGCTACAGAGACCTTATTCCTGTAACCAAGATACTAATATCAATCTCAGTGCATTACTATTTTCATTATCCCATCGAACGAAGTTCGGAGGGATATAGGGAACGCCTCCGTCCGTCCGTACGTACGTACGTACGTACCAGTAATTTAGGTACTGCACATAAAACTATAATAGCAATATGTTTTAAATGTAAAAAAGTTATATAGGACATTGATTAAGCTAGAAATGTAAATATAGAAGAAATACATGGCAGCCTTGAATGAAATTTTGTTCATATTTGATATGTGAATACTTTAAGTATGGCACATTGTCTAATAAAACTTTTGGGAGTAGTCGGCCATTTTGAAAATTGGCCACCATTTTTATGTGTGTTATTTTACATTTTTCATTATAACTCAAAAAGTAATAGAGCGATTTTGTTCATATTTGATATGTGAATACTCGTAAAGATTGCATACTGTCTTATGACATTTTGAGTAGTAAGCGGCCATTTTTTAAAATGGCCAGCATTGGCGATTTTTTAAGAATTTTATATGTGGCTACCTTAAAAGCATATTACTTCTTCTGAAGACAACTTGGCTAGTGATCAACCATTTTGAAAAAGGTGGCCTTTCTTATGGGTGTTATTTTATGATATTTGCTTTGGCGATTGGCGTTGCCGTTGTTCTGGTTTCATAATTATTCCATCGAACGAAGTATGTACGTCCTTCTGTACGTTCTGTACGTCCATCCAGTCAATAACTCAAATACTGTGTGCTCAATTTTGTTAATATATTTTACACATATATTGTATGGGGGTAGAAGTTTTGCTTAAAAACTGATTTTCAAAATGGCCGCTCATTTAGAAATGGCAGCCATTTTAGTGCCGATTTTAGCTATATGTTTTAAATGTAAATAAATTATATAGGACATTAACTAAGCTAGAAATGTAGATATAAAGAAGCACATGGCAGTCATCCTGAAAAATGGCGGCCTTTACATGCTATTTTATGATTTTTGCTGTAACTTGGAAAGTAGTGGAGCAATTTTGTTCACATATGTGAATACTATAAGCTTGGCCCACTGTCTAATGACACTTTTGGTAGAATGTGGCCATTTTTATGTTTTTTTTACTATAACTCGAAAAGTAGTAGAGGGATTATGTTCATAGCATGCTGTCTTAAATGACACTTTTGGTAGAAGGTGGCCAATTTTCAAAATAGAAAAATGGCCGCCATTTTATAGTTTTTTACTACAACTCAAAAAGTAGTGGAGATATTTTGTTCATATTTGATATTTGAATACTATTAGCATGGCGCACTGTCTAATGGCACTTTGGGAAGTAGGTGGCCATTTTGAAAAATGGCTGCCATTTTTATGTGTGTTATTTTACCTTTTTTACTATTACTCAAAAAGTAATAGAGCGATTTTGTTCATATTTGATATGTGAATACCCATAAGCATACTGTGTAATGACATTTTGACAAGTAGGCGGCCATTTTTCAAAATGGCCGCCATTGACATGTACGTGTGTGTGATTTTGTTGAAATTTTATGTGTGCCTCCTTAGAAGCATATTACATTTCCTGATGACAATTTGGCTATAGTGTCAGCTATATACTTTGTTTGTAAAAATGCCAGCCATGGCTGTTCGATGGGATTTGCTACGCTTTGGCGATGCTGTTGTCTAGTTGGCCTTATGAGATTCTATCTCTGTTTGAGAATCATTTGTTTGTTTCCAGTTGCTTCATCATTGATTCTATAGCTTTGCATCAAGGTCTTGTTTGCAGAGTTAAAATACTTAATAATAGGAGACTTATAATTGTAAGGTTATTGCTTCCTTAGGTTATGCTATCCTTCTTTAAGCTAACCAATGAGATTAATTAATGATAAGTATTCAATTCTTCATGTGAATTGCATCATTTGTCAATTTGATATTTCTGTTTTTCAGATCTACATGCCTTGGAATGAGAATCAAATTTCTGTCATGGGAATTAACTTTACTCTTTAACCCACTGATCAGTAGACCAAAGTGACCATAGTGAATACTGATTGCCCAAAGTTTATCTTGGTCCTTTCAATTTAAACATTACACATTTTCTTACACCCATGGGTGCTATATTGTGATTAGATTGCCGGATTTGTGGTTACATATAGGCAAATTCTTGCATCGACACATTAATTTCAAATTTTCAGGAATGCTATGAATGTCTAGAACTTGAATGCACATCTTTTTTGAAAATATTATCATCAATGACCTCTGATTCAGTTTTTGCTATTTTGATTTTATCTCCTTTCATGGACCGTTGAAAATGTGTGACTATATGTTACATCTTTCATTGCAAGTCTGGTAACTGGGATGTTTTAGTCAATAACAGTCTCCAGGGAAGCCAATCCCTCATAATGTCATTTAAAGCATATTTTGTATCCTCAAGGCATTGCAGAATCATTTTTTAGAGTTGGAGTCTTCTTGGACCTTGAAATCTTCTTTGCGAGTCAGGTCATTAATAGTTTTTGAATCTTAGAATCTCTGGCTAGTGTTCTTTCAATAGCATACCTGATCATGGACCTTGAATATCACAATTCATTAGTTAATGCATTTAGGTTTGGGGTGTTTTGACCAATGTTGATCAACTTTAATCATATACTCTACTGAATTTATGAGGGAACAAATACATTACTGGTAAGTGCTGTCTTCGTTAATTTCCTTAGAAACATAAAACAGGAACATGATGATTCACAAACCTCAACGAAGCATGTTTGATCTAACTTCTATTTGACTTATGCTTGACATGGTGTGTAAACCTATACATCCCCTGTGACAGTGTTTCCGATCTATTCACTTTCAATTTGATGTTTTCTCAACTTACTCTAATGGATTGTCAATACATTTACGTCATACCTGACAATCTTTCATGTTAAGAATAAATATGGTTTCATAAGACACATGGGATTTATCATAAGTCTTTGGACAAGTGAGCTACATAATTTCGAAGCCCTTTGATGGATTTTCTCGAAAAGCTAAAGTAATTCCAATATTCCCAAAGCATTTTATCATGCTGTATAAGAGTGTTGCCAATGCTTTCATGATCATTTGAATCATTTGGGAAATAGACAATTGCATCCACAATGATGAGGTAGTGCTCTATATTAAGGTTTATTTCCTGTTGATACATCTTTTATACTGTGAGCCTGGCCATGGGTTATGTATCTCATCATCTATCTACATGTACTGTTTACTTTTTCTTAATTTTAAGAATTTTAAGTCAGCTGCATATTTGAAACTTAGAGTCTAACATTCTAAAAATACATTTTCAAAATTATGATCATGATAAATGTCCAAACCCAAAACTATAAGAGTGATGTAAATTTTTAATATTTGAAATATGAAAGTAAAATTTTAAAAAAGTTTTTGAAATTCAATGATGATTGAAAACAATTCATTTAAAATTTTTTTTTTATATATTTATTTTTTTATTTAAACTTACTTATACGTTTATTAGACATCATTGAACATGTATAAGAATAACACACAGTTGGACATTAATTTTTTGTTTTCAGAATTTTACTCTAGTTTTTTTTCAAATATGTCCCAGTCTCTAGGATTCAGAAGTTTCAATCAACATCCTTTCATTTTTAATATGAAATGATAGTTGTAAGTCAGTTTTATTATTAGTAGTTCATTGAGTATCAATGAATTTGTTTTGATTTTTATTCTGTTGACATTTTCTTTGATTTCTGTTTGAGGGGATTAGGACTTAAAAGATAATTTCTTTATTTAGGTCTTTTTCATTTTAGCAAGCTGAAATGATAGATATCTGAGCATTGTTGTTGCATGAAGCCAAGTTTTGGTATACCAGGTATATGCATGTTCTAGGGATATTTGGCAAAAACTGCTTATTTTTCAGGAAAATACAAAAGTAACAAAAGCACTTAGGAGCACTTGGTGAGAAATTTTGAGGAACTGCATATATTTCTTGAATATTCTGATCAATTCAATATCCTATCATTAATCTAAATGGTATAACAGAATTAAACTGCAAACATACATTCATAAATAATTTATAGAATGCCTCTTAAAATCCCTGGACTAGCAATCAACTTAAGCATTCTGAAAGATTATCATTTTGAAAGTATAAAAATGTTTCCATATTTTGGCAAATGTGTGACTCCTTTTTATGTCACTATCAGAAGTGGTGACATTGTTATAGTCTCCATCTTTTTTTTGTGGATGGCGGTTGGTGTATGTCGGTTGATGTTCGGCAGTCAGCATCTGTAACAAATGACAGGTGGTGACATTTTGCATGTTAATCCCTTGTTTCTTTTATGATATCTTTCTTTCATTATATTTGTAATGAAAATTGGAAAGTGAAAATAATGTTTTTCAAATTAAAGTTGTAATTGTCATAATGAATGATCCATCAATGAATTATTCCTGCAATTAAATCATTTTACAATGTTAAAAGTAGAACTACTTTTATATATAATTATTTGTATTTTAGGTCTCCTCTTTTAGTATATCATGCTGGAGTTATATGAATTATGCTTTATTTATAATTTTTAGAGTTGTTAAAATATATAATTCAGTTTAACAATGTTTGTTCACATAATCTACAGAATGTGTCTTTGTACATGTATATCATTAGTATAATATTTTAAAGTGTAACTGTGTTTATCTACAGAATATATTTTTAATAATCTATATTCTATGTTTTTACATATATTTTGTGATCTACAAAATATTGATTTTCAATCATACTTATAACAACAATGAAACAATATAGTGGTATATAAATGTTGCATTTTTTCTCATATCAGCTGTTACATTTAGGAATGACAGTACCTATATCCTGTCTACATGTATTTGAATAATGAAATTCATATTTTATCTGGCATTTAATTCTTTTTTTCGTAATATTTCCAGGATATAGTGTTTGAGAAAGCATTCGATCTCTTTGCTTGTGATAAAGAGAACATCAAGAACCCAAGGTAAGGAATAAACAAGAATTGCCCACTTGGTCGTCTGTCTGTCCGTCTGTCATCCGTCTGAACTATATATAAAAATATGCTCATGACCATTTTATTAGGTGGATGCTGGTCATTTAAACCATATTGGTCCAGCCCTCCTACTTTTCCTTGGCTTTGGAGAAATCGGCTTTTACTATTTTTTCAGGGTGCTCTATAAATTTTGCAAAAAGTTTGACCTTTTCAGCAACTCACACATTGATATCATGATGAGCGAACTCTGTTGATCATGGGTTACATTTCTTATCCTATTTGACATACTTTTGCAACTTGAATGATTTAGAAAATGACCGCTTAAAATTACGGAAAACGCTAGAGTCAAAAAAGGTTTTTCAAAAAGTATACCTTCATGAAAGAAGAGGAGATAAGGTTGAACTAAAAACGACCTCTTCTGCAATACCTTCATTTTCATCGCAAAGTTTCCAATATCTATATTATGAATACTGCACATTGCTGTGATGTTTTAATTGACATAATCATATTTCTTTCTTTGTCTTAATATATAATAACATCATAATATTGTTGCTTAATTATCCCAACGAACATAGTTCGGTAGGTATATGACAGGATTTTATGATATTTCCATGATGAAATTATTGGCACATGATGATATCCCCAGCCATGTTAAGTCAATGGTGCATATGTTTAGTCAATACAACCTTGCTGAACTCAATCTCAGCCTATGTGGGTCCAAACATAAAGATATTTTCATTGTAGTCTTCATTTTACACCTTATAAAATTTCACTCTGACCATGGGGGTGTTTGCCCGATTTTGCAACCCGTCCTTTGCCTCGATCAAAATTCTAATAATAAACCTCAATTTATAAACATCCCAGTAAGTTTGAAGGGAAGGGGGGTGAAGTGAATGTTTATGATTCCCATCATGCAGATCCAAGATCAGGAAAAGTAGTTTTTGATTTATTTATATGATAGTGTTTCTTCTCTGCTTTCTCCATCTGCCAACTTCTATTTTATGATTTTTATGTCACCATTTTTATCGTTAATTGTTTTATAGTCTTTTTTGTTGAAAGTGCCCGGCAGTTGGCATCCATAACAAATGGCAGGTGGTGACATTTTGCCAAGTTACAGAAAGCCAATAAAATCATTTTAGTAGATAAGAACATCCATCCAACAATCCGTATTGAAATCACAATTTTTTGTTTATTCAACCTCAAAACAGATTTACATTTTTTATTAAGGGATAACATGATAAGACAGCTCACCTTGATTAGATTCATACTTCGTTAACTTCTTGTTCTTTCAGTTGATGTTACAGGAAACAGAATTTGAATGTGCATTAATGATGGGACATTGAAGTGATTAAATATATAGCTTTTCAAGAGATTGTGTCCAAAATGACAACTGTTTCAGAAAAAACATGATTTAGTTTTAATTTCACCATGGGCTTTCAAGAGAGAGCTCATAATTTAAATCTGAAATGGAACATCAAAAACTTTCTATTTTTCAAAATGTAAATAATTTCATCTTCCAAATGTAAAGATTTATGTCTTGACCCATTTTTCTTTGACACATTATTTGTAAAGACATATTTACAGTCTGACTTTGCATTTAATTATATCTAGGTCAGTACTAATTTACAAGAATTATGTGTTTGTATTGATGATATTTTATTGCATGAAGAAGATTAAAAAATACAAATTTAATATCTGACAAATAACATGACTTCACTATTTATGAGACTCGTGCAAATATCTTATAAAGATCAGTGAGACATGATAGAATGATTTGTGATCTGAAAGCTATTTTTGGTTGCCAGGCTATATTGTGGCATTTCAATTTAGGATTTCCATTAATCTTGCGCTCTGAATAGATTCTTTGTTGATCTGCATTTAATTAGATAAAAGGAATCTGTACAGTATTTGGAAATTTTGTTTCCAGACCTCGATCTTAATCTGATTGCTCCTTAGACATTTAGTGGTGTAATTATATTTCATCAGGAAAAGTCGCTATCAGAACCAGTTATAGATTCTAAATTTTAAGAGCTTTCTCATTGAAAATTAGTCTTACCAAGTTACCATAACCCTTGTCTCCTTAGAAATAGAAAGTATCTAATTTCACATTTGTAGAAATATTTGCAAAAATTATACCTGGATTGACTCAATCAGGGGTATGGTAAAATAAAATTTCTGAATTATGATTGTTTTTCAGTACAAAAGACCTGGAAAGCTGGAATAATGCTGAGATAGCTAGGCATGTGGCAACAACTGGTGAGGTAGGACAACATTGATATAAATTATGAGTCTTAAGTCTATGAACACCCAACACTTTCTACTTCACCTCTGAGGGTGGGGGGGGGGAAGTGTTCACAAGGTTGTCAAGCTAGGCAATAAAAAAAACTTGTAAAGTGGAACACCTCTAGAAGTTGAACAGCTCTCTGGGTGGAACACTTTTTAGAGTCCCAAGACCAACTGACCTGACTTAATGTTAAATGTACCTCTATCAAGTGGAACAATTCATAGAGGTATCAAAAGAGTTCCACTTAGACAGGACTGTATAGGGTGTTTCATATGTATGCAACCCCCTATAAACTCATACATGTAGCATTGCCATCCTATCATGTTATATATCATTTTCTTTGTTATGAAAAGTTACATAAGGTTCCAGAGTTTCAGAATCAAGAGGTGTCCCTGAAAAATATACAATCCATCAAAATATGTGGGGTCATTTATAAGCAGTTTTGTAAGGATTTTTAAGGCAGTCCAGTGATCTGTTCACTTTGTCTGCTACCTAATTTTAGTGATAAAAGTGGTACCATGGTCCCTGACCTCGCCATTAGCCATTGCATGAATCCTGTCTATACTATACATTTGTGCATAATTGCCACAGACATTTGAACTGAGCTCCACCATGGTGACAGTAGCTAGAAATGTGCAATACGGAAACTAAATTTGTCTTTTAAATTGTCCTCAAAATCTCCAGAAATTGCCATCTAAATGACCAGTACTCACAATCATTGATGCATTGTATCTTTTGTCAGTGACACCCCTGGATTCTGAAACTTTGCAATCTTATGTAACTTTCCTAAAGGAGCAAACTGATGTATAAAATGATAGGGTGACAATGCTACATGTATGAGTTTAGAGGGGGTGCATACATATGAAACACCCTGTATATAGAAAAGAGACACTATTGATAAATTATTGACCATTTAAATTCTAATGTTTTCATAAGCTTAACACAAACATTTTACATATGTTCCCCATGCAAAAAGCACATTTATATTTGATCTGTCTCATTAAGAATAAAAAATAATAAAAGTGAACATGTTTATTATTGAGTACATATGCAAATAGATTGATATTTCTGACAAATGTGTGTGGTTGGATGCCATCACACATGGTACTTGATTAAACTGGTAACAAAATGTTCTTTTATGTATTATGTCATGGGTTATATCTGCCTAAAGACTTGGATTTCTGTAAATTCTTAGTTCTCCCTTAAAGGAATATTCCTTGCCAAACCATCTCTCTCCTCATATGGTAGCTATAACCATATTTATGCTTGCCATGTTTAGCAAAACACGCAAAAATGTTTTGATATGGTCAAATTTGATCACTTAGAAATGTGATGCTCAATTCCAGTAAGCTGCCATCTTTTAAAATTTCACACAGGAAGTGATGTCATCGACTCTCAACTTTGCATATAGCATTAGGTGAGGAGCTATTAAAAATTACAAAACCAGCTAAATATTCTTTTTCAACTTTGTATCTTATTTAATCCTTCTGAAAATCTCTTCTTTTATTCTAAGTTGACAAGCCCTGAAAATATTTTTGCACAGAAAGTAATGATCACTTGTCTAGCAGAATATTCCTTTAAGTATAGCTTTCTTATACTCAAATTTAAGATATTCATACATGTAATAGTTATTATTATTGAGACAAATGGTCTGATAGCTGATAGATAAACAAGATTGAAGGTTCAGAATTCAGCAGATTATACTTTAAAGGTCCAATTCCCCTAAACTTGAATAATGAATAAATAAAGTGATTGTGATGCTGCTGACACATGCTTGTAGTAGTGAAGATTCTGCCTATACATCTTGTGAAATCATGAAAAAGGAAAATTGTACCATACAATCCCACCTCAAGGCTGCACAATTTTGTTAACGAAATGGATTCATTTTCGTAATTAGCTTTGAGTTCTTCTACAGTGACTAGGTTGGACTGTCCCCTTAGCACAGAATTTTATTTGACTAGTATAGGGTCAGGAAATTTGGCATGTAAGACAAGGCTGCAATGCTTTATATGACTTGTTTTGCAGTAAAGTAAGCTTGTCCTTCTAGCTCTGTGGCACTAGCATTAGCCTTAATAGCAAGGGGTCTTGGATTTGATCCCGATTGGGATGGACTGACTTTTTCACATCAGCCCTCACCACAGGAGTTCATTCTGTTTTCATTAGCTACATTTTTGAAAATATTTGGAAGCCAAATTATAATTTGAAATTGAAAATAAATTGATTTAAGGTCTTATTACTGACTTCAATTTCTTTAGGTGCCCCATAACGATAGACTCAGCTTTCACCATCATTGTACCGACTCTATACTTTCTCCAAGTAATTGCTTCAATTGATATTTCAGACCATGACTTACATAGAGTTAATTTGCAATTCCACGTCATCAACGACTGGCATCCAATTTGCAGCTGGATGAAAAACACAAGTTCCGACCTTGTTCTGGAGATAAGGGGCAAATAAGTATCTATTGAGAAGTGATATTACTAATAAGTAGAGACTAACCATGGTATTTACATGCGATATAAAGCAGGGTGGTGAAAAGCACAATATTTATTGCATCTCGGATCTATTCAACTTTTTCTTTCAGAATAGCATTGAAATATTGTAATTTCAGGTCCTATCTCAATCCGAGTCATTTCTTGAATGAATACTTTAATGCGACTAATGAAAATAATACACATGTGAGTTAAAGATTCAAAATATCAGTCTAGTTTCCCATCGTGCCCTTTTAAAAGGGATTATTAGTTGCACTGTTATACCAAGGATTGATAGAGGAAGATGCTTCCACTAAAGTTCATTTTGTTCATTTATCTCACAGCAGATAACAAAAGTCCAACATGTTAATCCAATGGAGATATTGTTATGTTATTAGTTAGAAACAGAACTTAAGTTTCCTCAAAGGGACTGTATTCTAGTTGTTACCATTGACTGGTTAAGGTAGATTGAATTTTTATCATAATAATTACCAACATTTAAAGGAAGTATCAGATCTAGTAAGCAAAAATTGTTTCAATTTCAGGATATTATTGATTCATATCATTCCTTATCATGTCTTTGTTCTAAAAATCCCCAAAATGTATATGATTTGAGGAAAACTAAAGAATTTTTATGTTTACAATAATGTTTTCATTTTTCTATAAATGTGGTCACCACATTTATTACCGGAAGATTTTAAACATTTTCCCCCATTTTAAAATATTAAATAACTCCACCCGTTGATAACAAATCGCTGATCTTTTGGGAGATATTATGTTTGAGATTGTGAGGACAAATTGGTAGCTTAACTATTTGGGACAATAACCCCCCCCCCTCCTCAGCTATCAGAATATAGTTAATCATATCTGACATAGATCTTTTGCATTTATCCCTTACATATCATTATTTAATATATAGTTCAAAATCAAAATATTTTATTAGAACTATCTTCAATTGATATTTCTATAAATTATTTATTTGAGGAACTACCTTCAATATATTTTCCAAGCTACTGCAAAATTGAAAAATCTTCTTTTTTAAGGTAACAGCTTAATGTGCCATCTCATTCATAAACAACTTCAGGTGATGAGTGGAGAGTCTAAGTACATTTCAATTGTTTATTGCTAATTGTATTCTAGTAATGGCTCCCTATTCCAAGGATATATGGATTAGTATAATCTGATTCAATTGCCTAGAAAATATTTATCTTAAGAATTTAAGCAATCTCACTAATATTAATGTGGAAATAGGGCTGTGTCTTAGAAAACAAGTTTGTGAGATAGAACTAATTGATCTTAATAGGTGCAAATCAAAACTATAATGTTTCAACTGAGTTTTTAGAAATACTTTATAGCCCCCACAATGATTAGAAGAGTTCAAATGATATAGTCTATCAGATGATTAATGAAAACACAGAATGAAATCCTGCGGGGTTATATAAAAAAGTAAGTCTACCCCAGTGGGGATCGAATGCACTTTTCCAGGCATCTTTTTGTGCCAAATTGTTTCTGATAAAAGGACATTTATACAACAGAGTGGAAATATTAGATTCTCAGATCAAAAGATGATATCCCATCTGAAAGTGTTAGTTCTAGGTTGTAGGTTATACAAATGGAAAGATTTCATGGAAAATCGAATCATGTCAATTCAATTTGTTGTAATTGGAGATAGCTCTTATTTGATCGGACAGAGTGCATCTATAAAGTCCTATCCAATAATCTATGCAATCCAATATACTTGAAATACAATATGGTCAACATTAGTAAATCAAAAGCAACCCGCATCCTTATAAAGTATAAAGTATAAGCAAATAGCTGATTATTTAAAAAATGAGAAGGAACAGAGTGTAAAATGTCAATTAAATCTTTTAAAAATGCATGCTTTAAACTCCTAATTCTATTTTCTGAATAAATTGTGATATCTGATCAAATATAGATTTAAATTGCAGACTATGAGAATTGAAAAATGGGACATCCCTTTAATAATTTTAGTTTTTGCCAGATAACCTGAAAATTTCAAAGGGTTTTCCTGAAATGATGTCAACCGACTGACTTTTTAGAAAATAACTATAACATAGAATGAATCTAGTAAAAATATTGAGCATTTTTATATGTATTGTTTGGATAGCCCAATAAATCAATCTGCTTGATATCTCCTTGAACACAGCTATGTACCACACTGCACAACTTTTTATGTCACCACCACATTATAGTCCCTTTTTGTGGACTGTGTTTGGTATTTGCCATTTGCCATTTGTAACAATTGGCAGATGGTGACATTTTGCATGTTATTGCCTTGTTATACTTGGAAAAATCTGAATATTATTTTCAGTTCAAGAATAATGAGTCCTTAGGCAGGAGAAGTTGAAGCATGTTAAAACTTACATGTAATAACTACTTGTCTGTAGAACAAACCATGAGAGTTCAAGCAAAATGTTTTACATCAAATACTTTGACATTCTAAAGCTAACAAATGGATTACTTCCATTATAGTGTATCAGTATTATCAGATGCCAATACTTTTTACATAGATCAATCTCACCAAGATTGTTTTTTTTGCAGGGGAAGAATTTGTATTCTCCGTTAGAAACCTTTAATTCTTACAACTCATCTTTTAATCTTGTCATGACATCTTGTTAGACACCTCACATAATTGATTTATAAGATTAACCTGGAAAATGTCATGAGTTATGTTTTACCTTTTCTGTACTATTAAGCAATCACCATGGTTTCAGCATGATCAATCAAATATAATCAGAAGTCTAACATTTGTTCAGCAATTAAAAATAATGTAAACTTCGTTGAGAATTGCTTGGATATAGTCCTGAATTTAGTGTCTGTATATGCATTCATGCGGGTTAAATGTCACTTATTTTGTAGTAGAGAATGATTTATAGTGATATCATATCCTTGGAAATTGAATTCTATAGATTTTTTCTATCTTTAAATGTTATCTAAGATTAAATCATATAGGAAGTAATGAGGCAAATAGATAGGGTTTGTTCCAAATGTGGTAAATCTCTCTCCTCCATGAAGTTTGGACCACAAAACACATCTTGATTAACAAAACCATATTTTGGCACGCTATTTCATCTTGCTCACAGTTTCTCACTTTATAATGAATAATCGCTAACTAAATTGCCAGTTAGGATCCTCTGAATGGCTCTCCAGCCACATTTAGAATATCTTATCTATTGGTTCAGGTAATTATTTGAGTGTAAGTAGAGCTATATGTCATTCCAACCAAACACTCCAAGTGACACTTTCAACTCATTATGGGCTTTAACATTTTCTATTGATTGTTACTCAGGTAAGCGGATGATTTAAAATAATGTAATCTGTAATTAAATGCTTTTGATGTTTTTTTAGATCCTGAACATTCCAGATATTGAGGTAGATGCAAAGTGGGGTAAAAACCAAAAAGTGGTAAGTAATATTTACACATTGTTCCCATACATAATCATTGTCTCATAAAGTATAAGGGACCTGAAATTTACATTACAAATGATTCACAAAATATCCATGGTTGGAAAAATAAAGAATGCAATCAAATACATTGATGTATCAAGGAATATTGTCTTACATAGATTTACTGTATTATTTATGGACTATAATCATATGAATTTCACAAACAGTGCTAGGTTTGACACTGGTGATCCGCTCGATTACGCTGGTTACCGAAACAGTTCAAAACAAACAATTTCTTTCTTGCTCTGAACTCCTCTCTGTCAATTCAACTTCATTTAATAAACAATGTTGCATAACATGGTTAATACTGTTTCGTATGTTATTTAACCTTTAGCGTGCTGCCGGCGGACTCGTCCGCCGAGACTAAAATGTCTCTCACAACTGCCGGCGGACCCGTACGCCCGATTTCAAACTTTTAAAAACTTTACTTTTTCGCGCCATTCGTATTGTCCAATTAGATTGCCCGATTTATTCAGTGCCTAACATGACTTCCTGTTGACCTAGAAATGCGATATTTCGAAAAATAATTCTCAATTCAACAATTTAAACAGTGTTTAAGTCGTTTTTAGTGAACGAATGGTACAAAATGGTGGACAAATACGATCACAACGAAAATGTGGAGGGAATGGATTACGATTTCGAGCTCTTTAGGCTCTTGGAAGCCAATAACGGTCATCGAAAATAGAAGCTAGAATATTTTCTGAATTGAAAAATTGAACATTTGATCGCTGCAAATTCAGATTTGGATTCTGACCAGACGAAGAGGCAGAGCGGCGGATTCCGGAGGAGTATTCATGGTATATTTATGCCCAGTCGTGTTAATGTACGAAAAAATTCATGAGAACATTTTTTTCATGAGCCAGGCCACTGTGTCTTCCCTTTGTGAAAATTTTATCCAGATTCATTCAGTAGTTATTGAGATATTAATTATTTAGTCCAGGCATATCATTTTTTGCACTCTTTGAAAAATAAGCCAGTTGCGTGGGATATATTTGCTGAAATAAGGCAGCATGGTAAAGGTTAATGCCTCAGCATTGGCCAATCGATCCTGTTGAGTGTCCCCGACACCCTCCCACCTAACCCAGTTTAATATACTCATTGTTGTTGATGAACAATTTAAAATGCTCTAAATTAAACAATTTGAACGGCCCAGCCATTTTTCCTATAACCAGAAGTGCATCGAATGAAAACCATGTCAAATTCCCAGGGATTTCGGTGACTATTCAATTTGGCTATTTTTTAATTCGCCAAAATAAAACACTCGTCAGTCGTCAAATTAAAGACAAATACAACTATAGAAATGTATTGCATGTTTCCTTTTCAGATTGCAGGGTTGAAAGATAATTGAATGGTGTATCAGTTGTGTTATGATCAAAGAGATTGGTCCATTAAAAATGTCTGTGTAAAAAGTGTCTATTACTTATTGATCACCCCTTGTACAGTATATTATTTACCTTTTTACAATATATTCCCATTCATCATTTTGAAAAGTCAATTATTAGTCTGTTCTGTGAAATAGACATCTTGACTTATCTCATACATTTCAAATATATAAATATACCAAGATTAATAAAACAAATGCATATAGCCTTATCAGAATACCATTTGTATATGTTATTATCCCATCGAAAGAAGTTCGGAGGGATATAGGGATCTAACGCCTCCGTCAGTCTGTCCGTCCGTATGTACGTCCATCCGGGCAATACTGTATAAGTGGTAATTTTGCCTAATCATTTAATTTGCCTATTTCCTAATTTTTGCCAGGTTCGGAAAATTAAATGTCGGAAATATTGTCTTTATAATGTTATCCAATGGGAGGTTTCTTGTCATTAGGAAAATTAAAATTAGGAAAATGATGAAATTTGACCATTCGGAAAATTAACCACTCGGATTAAATACCACTTATACAGTAACTCAAATAACGTTGGCCCAATTTTTTTATATTTTGTAAACACATACCCTATGGGGGTAGAAGTACTGCTCGAAAGCCGATTTCCAAAATGGCCACTCATTCAAAACTGGCGGTCATTTTAGTGCCGATTTGACAGTAATTTAGGTACAATATGTAAAACTGTAATAGCAATATGTTTTAAATGTAAAAAATTATATAGGACATTAATAAAGCTAGAAATGTAAATCTTAAATAAGACATGGCAGCCATCTTGAAAAATGGCAGTCTTTACTCGTTATTTTACGATTTTTGCTGTAACTCGAAAAGTAGTGGAGTGATTTTGTTCATATTTTGTATGTGAATACTATAAGCATGGCACACTGTCTAATGACAATTTTGGTAGAAGGCTGCCATTTTTCAAAATGGGCGCCATTTTAATGTATTTTCCTGTAACTCGAAAAGTAGTGGAGCGATTTTGTTCATATTTGGTATGTTAACGTATTTTACTATAACTCGAAAAGTAGCAGATCGATTCTGTTCATATTTGGTATGTGAATACATACTATAAGTATGGCACACAGTCAAATGACACTTGTGGTAGAAGGTGGTCATTTTGAAAAATGGCTGCCATTTTTGCTATATACTTTGTTTGTAAAAATACCAGCCATGATGGGATGGGATTTGCTACGCTTTGGCGTTGCTGTTGTCTAGTTGAATGTAAATGGTTTGGAGTAATCTTACAATCTTACATGTCCTGGTTAAACTGCTTGGATTCAATTCAGTTGATTAACAACCATCAAATTGAGTTTAACATTTATATACTATTTTCATGCCATTTCTTCAATTATGGCATTCTCATATAAAACTAAAAGGACAAGGTCTTGTTTTATCTTCAAAGGAATGAAATTCAAATGAAAAGGTAAACTTGTCTATGAAATAGTACTTAACTTTTATGTTGATGAGATAGGTTTTTACATTTGAGTAGGCAATACAGGAACACAACTTACAAGGTAATGTTACTCATTAATTTGAAGCTTTAGTCAACATCAAAGGAAAATATTCCAAGAGCTGTTCATAGTTTTTGATCAATAGTAATTGCTTTGCACAAATTACATCTTTCTACTTTTTATAGGTTTAATGATATGTATTCCTGTGGAACAGAACCAGCAATATTGCTAACATAAGTTCGTAAATCATGATTACTCAGCAATTTAAAAAAAATCATTCACCTTTCCTGCAAGCTAATATAGAGGTATGCATCAAAAAGATGATGCAATATTTACAATCTGTTCTAAAATACATTGTATTTGAGTATAACATTATATAAATGAAAATAAAATCCAGTTTTCTCGTCCATCATAAACTCAGAAATTAATCAACTTGTCAATAGAAATATTTGGAAAAGATAAACTGTCAGAAATTCTGTAAAAATATGTATGTAAAAGTATCTACAGTTGTGTTTTTGTGGTAAACTTCCCCCTAGAAATTCTGAAAACTATACCAGATTAAAATAAACATATTCCAAATTCATTATGACCAATCACGTCATCATGTTCTCTCTTTTCTTGAACATGAAATTTATCAACTGGTAAAAACAACTACCTTACTGAATGGCATTTAGCTACCTAGAAAGCTATTTTCACTACCAGGCTAAAAAGTTAAGTTTGCTCCTGTATCATGGTTTATCACGACAGTTAATGCAAAATTAATAAAATAAGATCTCAAGTTCAGTTGGAATTAATTGTTTGGTGTCACGAACAATTTCTGATACACCCCACTCTATATTTCTTTGTTAACCCCCACACTATTAATCTTTATTATTTTATCATTATTCAGCTAAGTTTAAGTCTAGCCTGCAGACAATTTATTCAGCAGATGTTAAACTCTAGCCTGCAGAAAATTTTACAAGGCATATTTCATCTAAATGAACATTTGCTGTATAAAAGTAAAAGTTAATAGTGTTGCCTATCATCATGGGTTTGATAAACCAATGTTTGATATTACCCATCTTTCTCATTTCTTCTTAGCCCTGTTTCATGTCATCTTCGTTCACTCGGCTCCCGTCGGTCGCCTTCGTATATATTTAGCGTAAAAATCCAGACAATGTATATCGGGCGAGCCATGGCACATCCTAGAATGCGCCCAATCAGCGTTCAGCATTTTAAACACATCCGCTAGAAAAGAATGGATGCACTTTTCAAAACTTTTATTACTTTAAACATTGATTAACTCATGGACAATCGTTCTAAATGGATTATATCAGACATACTTTTATCAAAGATGAGTAAAACGTAATCAAATGACTCCTCGTCGAAAGATCTACCACATTTTGTTTTAAACGTAGATGGAGTGAATAAAAGTTAAACGCTGATTGGCTCATCGCTTTTTTGTGGCGACTCACTGTCAAAGGTCAAGGCGACCAGCTGTATTTACATAGTGGCTTCGGGTGCTAGCTAAATAAGCGAAGGGATGAACTCAGTGAAGACTGAGCGTGCAAAGATGGTTTCATGTCAGAAAGATGCTATGAGTATCAGAATGATCTTTTTCTGAATTTCAAGTTCAACCTTGCTGTTTGTAAATTTCTAATTTTTGTTTTATATTGTTTTGTTTTGTTATCTTGATAACAAACTTCATATTTGGCAAACATCCAATATGATTCCCAATATGATTGCTTTGGAAAATCAAATCTTGTAGCATGATCAACAGTTTTTATCCAAATTGGTTGGTATAATTTTGAAGTGCGGTGACACTTTGTAGTGGTGACATTGTTATTCTCTCCAACATATCTGTGAATGGTGTTAGGCGGTTGGAGTTAGGCATCTGTAACAGCGTCCGGTGTGTGTAACTAAACATTAAAATAAAAAGTGAAGCAATCAACATGTTCTTAATAGCTATAAGCTGGACACTTCTCAGATGCAGCGCCAAAATTGACTCAGATTATAGGGGGTCCATTTGGCTATGTTGTGTTGGGCACCAATACACTTTACAGAAGATAATTGACCAACTGAACTATTTTCACTTGTTTATTTTAGAGGAGAAATTAATATACTGCTTACAATTAACAAAT